TTCCCTTCTGATTAACCCACTGCTGGATGAGGACTCCAAATCTGATTCGGAGCCTCTTCTACCTACCCCACCGCCTACCTACAATGCAGTGAAGCTGGAAGATCTTAGACAAAGAGAGAAGACCTGAGATCAGAGAGCACAACTCTGTTATTGTCATTCTTCAAACCACTTATCCCTTTCTTCATATACAGCTGTAGATCAGCAACTGGCAGGCTACGCAGACTACCTGTACAGGCTTAACAGCACTTCCCACAGCCTGGAAACTCTGGTGTCAGTTGGGAAATTTCTGAAATTTCAGAAACTACAGTCCATTTAGGTGCTTAAATCAATCACACTTTTTCATTCTGGCAAAGCATGAGACTGCCAGGATCCCCTCCGTTGTTGCAAAGCCAAGAAAAGGGAAAGGCACTTAATCCCTGGCAACCTGTTTGTAATGGAGCTAACTGCTGCTCCAAGCAACCCACAAGCCAGCCAGTTGCTGCCCTATATTTACCTTTCACACATCGACCAGTTATTTAAGAGACTTATTTACTCTCCTGGAAACACAAGTCTCTGTGGTGCTAGACACTTACTAACACCTTGGGCATTGCTATCCAAGATTAAGCAGTAACAGTGATCAAAAAGATTATTCATAAACTAATTGTATGACAGAAAAGAAGTGACAGCATATTACCTCAATAGTTTTATAAACTAAAAAAATCTAACAGAAAAACAGTTAAAACAAATTAAACTACTGAAAGGGACTTTAACATGTTTAAGGGCCATTGGGCAAGTTGAGCTTTGAACTTTAAACATACTTGAAGTAAGTCATTTTCAGAAAGCTTCAGTGCTCTACACCATTCTGAAAGTTTCTGCAGGCTGGTGTCTCCTCTTGTCATTTCTGGTTTTATCAGCTGCTCAAAATAAGCTTCTAGTTCATTATCAAGGAATTCCTTATCATCAATATCATTATCTATTGAAAGAAAAGAAAACAATCTTTCCACTTGTAACAGATATTTTATATCACCTGACATACTATCAAAACAAATCCATGATTTTTAATACACTAAGTCTCACAACACACACAGTCAGAAAAGAATTATCCTGTTTTTTTCCTTGAAGCAGCTGGGTCACAGAAACATGTAATTCTCTTACTCCATGACTAGTGATACACAGCAAAACAAGATGACTACAAGCCACCATTTTAACTGCCAGGCTACCAAGTGACAGGTCTTCCTTCACACAGTCTACACACCACCAGAACTAACAAATCATATACATACTTACACATTAAAATATATCACATTTTTCAAACTTCACAGAAAGTGACTGAAGCATATATATATTCTCTATTTCAATGGCAAAAAAAACGTTAAGTGCTATTAGCAATAACATTGCTATTCCTATTTGCCAAGGGAAAAGTTTTCAAATACACAAGTTTTCCTGGCTGGGGGCTGATTTTCATCTTTGAGGGCTGGGGGGAGACTTTCCCGGGCTTCTGTTGGTTTTATAAAAGACCCAAACATCAGTCAGCTTTTTGAGGTAGTAAAATACACTCTTAACACCACTGTAAAATATATTCCAAGAAGTTTGAAATCTTTATTTTTTAGTCTCTCATTTCCTGAAAGTAGTATCCTGTTTGTGTTTTTCCTCATTAAAAAAAGTTTACCCAAACAGGCCTTTCATTTATAAACTCACAACCACATTTTGTTTTCCACATAAAGAAATGTTCATTTTCAGGTTGCTGGTGATGGTTTCTGTTTCCATGTACTGTTCTGGAGAAGGGGGAGAGACTGCAGCAAGTTAAGTTGCTTAAGTTTTTGAAAGAGGACTAATACCTATTCTCAGAACAAACATCCACAGAACTCTTTCAAAATTATAGAAGGATTAGTTGGCTACCTGAATGATAGACAAATGCCTACAATTCTAACTCCAGTTAACACCACCACAATAACTGTTTTAATCTCATCACCCATGTCTTGATTTCTTCTTTGTGAAACTGAAATAATAATCTGCTATCTTCCAAATAATGAGAAAGTAGATCCATGTATTTTACCTCAGATACCAGAGACTTCATTTTCAGAAGCACACAGTTGCCAAATTTACACTTTTGCATGATAAAAATTAGTACATTGCACACTGACCAGGACAAAAATTATCAGCTTAACCAGTACTGGAACCCTAGTAAGTTACTTTCAGGCCAAGTATTTCCAGCTAACAACTACCAACTCCTTAAGAGGGCAGTTAAAAGCAATTTCGCCCTCTTGGGTGAAAAAAAACCACAGCATTTTTACTCAGCAAACTATTAACTTCATTTTTATATGCTTTATGCACAAGTGAAGTTATGCAAAAAGAAATAGCCAAGCAACTTCAAAAGACAGTCATTACTTCTGTAGATGCCATGGGAGAAATAAAGTAACCCAACTTAAATGCAGAGCTGCTTCACCTCAAGACAGCAGTAAACCTATTTAGCACTTTGTCTTCCTCATTCTTGGTGCACCCAAGGACACGTCCTGTCATCCTGCAAAGTGAACTGCATCAACAAAGAAGTTTGCCCTTCGGCAGCAGTCACTGGAAGTGCACAGAAATTTCAAAACATTTCTTAAGTGATACAGAACTCAAGCTCTCACTTTTATCCCTGAGGGTAAACCAGACTTCCAATTTGGGTGTCACCCTGAGTGTGCCGCATCTAAAGAGAGCAGAACTGAAACTCAAGCAAAAGTTCTTCACCATAGAAGTTTGTCTCTACTAACCTAAACTGAAACTATAGCTAGGGTTACCACTTTATTAAATGAAGGTCCATATTTCTACCTGCATTTTTGATGTTAAACAACCATCAGTAACTGACTGGATTTTAGATTAAAATTCCAATTGTGATCTTCTCTGACAAATTCCAAAGCCACCTACCCCATTACAATTCTAAAAGTTTTCCAATGAACACACTTTTCTTTAATACTGCTAATACTAGTTTTTGATGAAGCATAATCCTGTGTTAAACACTTCAGTAAAGCAACATCTTTCTTCTCAAGTATGCAACAACATTGAGTCAGAATTAGAGACTCAGCTACCAAGAGTTATAAACACACATACCAGTGACATCTTCATCCGAGCTTGGAAGAGATAAAAGTTTCTCATTTTCCAAAAAACTTGTAAGGCTATTGCTTAGATGATACCTTGAACCTTCACCTTCTACCAGCTTTTCAGAAGGTTCAGGTGAACCAACCTGCAATAAACACCCACAGAGAAATGTTTCTAGTGGTTGCAAGCTATTGTATAAGTTCAGTTAATAATAAGAAATTAGTATTCCAAAACTTCCCCCTGCAACCTATTTCCTCCTTATCCCAGCAAACAATCCAGTTCCACTGGACTTTGCCTGCCAGCTTCCAGAATGGATGCATGCAAGAGACACAGGGATCATAAAGGGGAAAGAGGGAAAAAGATTCTGAACGACACCAAACTTAAAAGAGCTCAAAGTATTAAACCATTGCATTAAGGACTTTACACTTGAAAAAAAATGCCCTCACTCACTCACTGCGCTGCAATCCCAACTTAAAAGTACAAAGACAGCTCTCAATTTTCTATACTTCTAAAAGTTTCTTCAGAAATTGTACACACAGATCCACCCTTTGTTGAAAATTTCTCCAAATCAGCATACGAAATTACGTATAAAGCAATACTTCAGCTGAATCCCGCTAACTGCAAATATTCTATCTTTCCTATAGCTGAATGATTTTTAAAAACAGCAGAATGTAATGTCTGGTATGGATTTAGTCTCACATTCTTTGTGATAAACAGATCATCTCTGACAGACAGCATAAAAGTCACAGTTCAGAAAGCAAAGAATCTGAAAGGAGCTTGAGTTATGGTTTTTAGAAGACAGCTTGTGAGCATTAAACTGCAACTCACTGACCACTGTGGGCCCTACAAAAATCAAAGGAAAGAAAAATATATCAATTAACAAATACCAACTGATATATTAAGGAGTTCATATTGGACAGCATTCAGCTGCAGCCTCATGCTTATGTTCTACATGGACCAGATCTCCCATTCCTGCCTTGTATCTCTGTGCCCAGAATTGTCAGCTTCTCTAACAAAGTAGACAAAAACAGCTGAACCATAACTCTACCTGTCAGTACCTGCAGCTATTTGCCACCTCTTGGACAGAAACCACACACAAGAGAAAAATACAAAGGCAGCATGAAGACCGTGTTCTTACAAATGGTGCGGTTTGTAATGCTGAGGGCACTGAAGAAGCCATCTGAACTAATACTACTCAAAGTTATTAGCAAGTACAGGAGCACGTCAAATCAAGTTGATATTGTCTACTTCAACTTCCAAAAGCATTCCAAAAAGTTCCTCAAAATGCCTTTCACTAAGCTGAAGCACAATTGGGAAAAAATGTGAAGTCCTTACATTAACAAAGAACTGCAAGACAGCAGAGGCTAGGAGCAAACTACAGTGTTCACAACTGAGAGTGATTAGATGGAGTCATGCTCCCATGGTGCTAATTATGTTAACTGCTCTGCAAAATGGAGGCAAAGTGAGGCGTGACACATTCAGCAAGCTGTCACCTTACAAGCTTAAGGGATACATGATATAAGACAATAAACACAGTTCCCCTCTCTCCCTCCTGCTCTCACATAATTACGTTTATTACAAGATTAGTATTAGAAAACCCTACATTTCACTACATTTAGAAAATCTTTTACCTTGCTATTCTTAATGTCTGGAAGAAAAGATATTCCAGTTGGCAAATCTGAAACAAAAGAATTCAGTGTAATCAGTATTTTAATAACATGAGAACATCACATGTGCTAACTATTCTCCATGATAGCTGACCAAGGTTCTGGAAGGTCTTGGCATACATCATAAAAATAACCCTGAGATGTATACATGACCACAACACCAAAGCTTATTTGTTCTTATAACAACAACCTAGAGTACCTGTGAGCAATTAAAAAAGAAGGGCTAGAACTCTAAAAAAAAATGAAAGACAATTACTACACTAAAGATTTGCACAGGGCAGTGAATAAAAGTAAGGAGTCCCAGGTTGCAGCAGCAGAAGTAGGAATAAGCATTCTGTTCCACTGCTGCATTTCACTTATTGGGACAATTCTTTTTTTGATCACTTTAAGCAGCTTCCACTTGTCCACGTGTTATATCCACCCATAACCCAATTGCAAGTCCCACAAGACAGAGAACATTTTAGGCAAGCACATATAGATTTTAGCACAAAAAGGTTCCTAATTCTTAAGTAATACATGTGAGCAAAAAGCAATTTCAAGACTAGGGTATCAAATATTGAACAAACAAATTAAAACCAAGTAACTAAATCTGATCAGTCCCAGTTTTCCAAAGCATCATGATTTTGTTGCTATAGTTCCTGCCACTTCCTCAAGACTACAGTAAAAAGTAATGAAGTCAACACTTCACTGCCAGAAGTGTGTTTTATAAGGGTCCACTTATATTAGAGATCATAGTACTTCTAACTGAACACTTTGTCTATCAAAATTATTACTACCTTGCAAATACATGCAAATAGACAAAGCTTAGAAAAGGAAAATTACTAAAAGCATATATTTACTAAGTATATTTACTGAATTTTAAGGAACAAGCAGAATTTAATCACAGGACTGACATTAGCCCAAGCAAGTTTAATATCAACAGCCATGCTTTTAAAATGAGTTCTGGAATATTCTTCTGCTTCCACTGTTCTATTCATACTTCATAAAGGTATAGTTTTCACGGCAAGTATTCAAAACTACTTTTTCATGCATCATCTTAATAGAAGAGCACATTTACAGCTTCTACAGCTGCAGTTAAAGACAGGCTGGAATAAAGTACAGGTTGGAATAGGGCAGGAAAAGAGACGTCAGTTAAAATGTAATCTCGCAGCCTTACACCTGCTGAAAGAGAAGGGGTAGAGAACAAGTTACATACACTCTTTGCACAAAGGTCCTGAAATTAAGTCAGATTATTACTATTATTCTAATTACAGTACCCTACAGCAAACATTATTTTTAACCAGCTTTCTGTCTAGCTTTGTACTTTGGGGGGGAGGGGGGGAATCCAAGAACCCAAAGTCAACCACAAGCTTTCTCTGCTTTCAGTTTGCTCAAATCCCTGAGATGACTTTTCAAAACACATTTATTCTCTGCCACAAAACAGGGAAAGGGTCAAGAGAAGACATCTGTAGCATAATAAGCTAATTACAGTGACAATAAGTATACAATTTGTCTCAAAATGTAATACCTTCCAGTCGCTCAAGTGGCAAGACTTCACGCAAGGCACCTTGACTGCGATTTGAATGCTCAGCAACATTCTGATCTTGCTCTCCATATACTGAGTGGGACTCCTTCAAACTAACAGAAGTTGGCTGAGGCTCTTTAACATGTGTAGCAATTTCCCTAGAAAGAGAATAATTTCAATGAAAAATCAATGAGCTACATAGATCAAGGTGAATATACAACTTCTGTCTGTATAAAGATTTGATGAATTCCCCAATTGTTTCATCTCTAGGAAGTCAGCTGTTCCCAACAGCACAGATCAGAGAGGCCTGACATTTTACAATAAAGGAATAAATACCAGTATTACAAGGATTTCAGTTCCACAATCTAAACAACAAGTTTAGAAACAAGTAGTGAAATTCCATGCAACATAAGCTTCCCTACTGGTCTGACCCTCTCATTCGCTTCTGTAAAAAGAGGGAAAGGTATAAGGAGAAAAAGGTCTACCCTGGACAAGCTCCATGATCCATCTGAAAGCAAGTCAAACCCTATATGAGATTTTCCCAAGCCCACAATATCAGCACGCCTTTTGTAATGCTAAATTAGGAACTAAATCATGTAGAACATGACTGACTGAAATTGCATGTAGCTCTGCTAAATAACAGGTTTTGTAATTCTGCAGGAAAGTTATTATTCACTTCTGGTTTCACAGAACTTCCACACAGGCAAATAAGCTAATTGTGTCAGATGTTAGAATTTCCACATTGAGTGAACTAAACCATACCTTTTGCTTCAATATTTTAGATAAATAAATGAAACTAACCATTGAAAGTCTAAAATGCAACAATTCCATGTTTTGAGGGGTTTTTTTCACTTGAGTACAATCAAGACACTGACTCCCTCTCAAACCTTCTATTTTTTGCGTTCATGAGGATGTACTGCCTAGAGCATAATTTTATCCGTGAGAAAGACACACATTGCAACTTCTATCACAACAGCAGGGGCAAATTTGACCTTGGTTGGAATAACCTATGCAACAGTTCCCAAAGCTTCCACCACTTAGTAATAACTCTCTCAATTGTACCACTAACACTAGCTACTTCCTAAGATATAGTAATCAACAAGGCTATAAGGAAGCTAAATTTAATAGAAATTCATGGTTTTTTCCATATGCCAACAGCATGATACTCACTTGGAACAGATTTAAATCAGACCAAATATTATTCACACACAACATGAACCAGAAAGATCACCTTATTTCTAGATTATGTGAAGTAAACTAGGTAAATACAACGCAGATTGACATAAATCGATTAATCATACTTAGGAAATTTTTAATTTGTGTGATAACAGAACAAAACCACATAGTTTAAGAATGAAAAATCACTCCTAAAGATTAATTCCTGTCATGTACACAAAGCTCAACTGGTCAATCAAGCAGCAGAATGCTTGATTCATGAAGGGCTGCACAGGCTAAGTGGGAGCACCACACAGGATGCTTCCACATGGGCTGTCACTATCCCTCTTCAGAACACATGGAGGAGATGCCCAGGCTGCCAAACACTAAGTTACAACAGCCAGTAGTAAAAGCTGCTGCTGAGGTAGGCAATTCAATTCTGAAATAGTCCATAATTAGCTCACAGGATGCACAAATCTACAGACTACAAACTGCTATGTGCATTTTAGGACAGAAGCAGATTTCAGCTCTCTTACTTACGTATCATCACGAAAGGGAAGGGCAAATCTCTCCACTGGCTCAGGATCTGACCCACTACAGTGAGAAGATCCTAATGCAAGTGAATGTTTCCCTTCCAAATAGGATGCACAGTTATCAAAAAGCCTGTAAACACGGGGAAGAAAAATACACATCAGAATCATTCTAATACGCACCACTCCTGTTTTAAAAAGAATTGGGAAAAAAAACCATATTGATGGACACTTAATTCCTGTAAATCCAATTATTTAAGTATTTTAGCATTTTCTAGCTAATCTGTATTTACAGGTACACATATATTTCCCAGAATGATCCTCTCCAGCCTTCTGCAGCTCTTTAGAGAAATACCACATTATAATTTTCAGTAGCTAGTGATGTCCTTTTTGGAAAGTATAGTTCTGACAGGCAGGGTATTCAAGTCTGAGCTTCAAGCCTGAACTTACTTCTTGCTAAGTCACAGGACAGCAGTTAAGGCAGCAAAGGTTTCTAAATTATTACTCTTTGCTCTACTCCTTCCTGAACAAAACATTATAAATGGTGTTAAATTTTAATTCCTATCCGTAACATTAGTCCTTACACTACCCTTTCCAAAATGAGCCAGATTCAGGTAACTTAAATGAACAATTAGCAGAACTATGAGAACTCCCATGTAAAAGATATGTTTTTCTCTGCACCACTTCAAACTTGAGTATGCTAAGCTGAAGGCTTGAGTTAGAAGAAACTTGATTGTCACCAGTCTAAAAACTAAATTACTCTTTCAATGGGCAATTTTAGTTTCAAATTAAGCATTTTATTAGTCATTAATTCGATGCAGACTTTTCACAGCTCACCCAAGCAATCCTGTGTCCGTCAGTTAGTGCGCTACTGATTAGTAAAGAATTTTATCCTCTACCAAATCATCTGTAAAGGGGGACTTTTTTCCCCTCCCCGAAGTCAAACGTCTCAGACTTTTGTTTACATCGCCGAGTGGCATTTTCTCACAGTCTCACCTGTCACCACAGGCTTCGTTGCTCCTGGCCACGGTCGAAGCAGCGACAGGTAACCCTGGATTGGAGGCAACCGTGATATTCTCAAACACCACACTGGCACTGCTGTTCAGGGACTGGCCCAAGTAGCTCGGGAACGTCTCATCAGCAATATTCTTGAAGTCTTCCATCATCCTGCGGGTTAGAGCAGCACTCAGC